ATCCGCTTGGGGCGTGTGGTACAGAATTTCCAATATTGGATACACTCGCGCGCCGTATGAAGGCGGATGATATCTATCACGACATCTTCGCCATGCGATCGATGGTGCAGTAATTGACATCTTTTATCTTATAAAAATCGTTGTGCGTCCATTTATACAGCGCATTACGATTGACTCTTGAAAGAAGCGAAATTATCATTTTTCTTCTACATTTCGTTTACTTTCTGTTGTTGTTTTTTTCACATACTTTTAAACCAGAGTAGCGATCATGTAACTTTATCTCTAGGGCGGAATTGTGAAAAGTTAAAATTTTCACTTTTCACATTTCTGCCCTATGATAAAGTTACATGACTGCTAGACTTGAAGCAAAAGTCGTAAACATTATTGGTATTTTATTAGATTGTTTTATAAATATATATCTAAATAACATTTATAGATATATCTATAAAGATTGCATATTAAATATTCGCACGGGTATTCTCCGGACAAGAACTCCGATTAACGAGAGTGGCTAATGAGAATAGCAGCAAGATATAACGGTCCTTGTTGTCGGACCACGAAAAGAGGCGGGCAGAATATGAAGGTCCGGGTTGAGCAAAAGGCGGTTGAAGCGAGGAAAATGATACTTTTCATGCCGGAAAATAAAATGAGTCATTCAATGAAGTGGTCGTAGTGTCGGCGTAACGAGTCGAGGTAAATGCGAGGTGAGAGATTGCGGTTCTGAGCCTTCTTCTCCTGTTGTCTTTTGCTTCATGCAGTTGCCGTTCTTTTCTCGCCGGGTCTCTCTCTCTCTCTCTCTTTCTTTGTCCTTATCCGACAAATGGTTGGGATAAATTGCGCTCTTGGCACTCTTGACTTTTAAACCCGCTAGGCGGATCTGTCCAACTATACTTACTTTTAAATGTCTTCCCCGACTGGGATTTCAGCGGCGTCGACGACGCTCGTCGGCGACGTCGTACTGACGACGCGGGTAATGACGCGACGCCTCACGGATTAAGCCGTTCGAGGCTTACGAGCCGGTGATTATATGTCGCCTGCGCGATCATCAGATGGGCAATTACGTCTCCGTAAACTGCCGCCGTTGCCTGTAAACTTGTCGATTTGCCCCGGTCATATGATGCGAAATGTCCTCTCGTACGGAAGATCGGGATCAGAATGAAGACCGGGGATTACATGAAGACCTGACACGGACATGACATAATTACTTATACGACTAAACAATAAAGCAATAAAATAATAAAGCAATAAAAATCCACACGATAAACGGATGCTTTCAAAAGTATTTTGAATAAAAATCTTTCTCTATCTAGAAAAAACTGTTATCTTGTAATACGTCATATATAGTTATATTCTACCGTAATGATGGTAATTTATGGTAATTTCTTCTATCTATTTTTGATGAGTAATCTAAAGAAAGGAAATATGTAAGGCCAGAATAAATATAGCTGTAGCATAATAAAAAACAATAAATAAGAAGTATATTGTATTATAAGATAAAATTTAAATTTTATTTAACGTCTGTCTACTTTCAAGAATGATAATAAAATCACGTAGTACATGCTAAGATGCTTATGTTACAACGCGAAATGAGGAAGGCTGGCGCACGACGAGACAATTTCATCCAACGATTATCAATTCGCGACACGTTACCGTGATGTGACGGACGCTTAAAGAACGTCATTGTCCTGCGCGGTTGGTCCACAAGCAGGCTAGGATTTAATAATGTTGAGAGACAGGCTAGACATTGTGCACACATCGGGATTGGTACACACAGCTTTCGGGCGTCTTCAATATCTGAGCAGCTCTGGAGCAGTATTGTCTAGGGCAAGGACGCGGTCCCGTTCACTTTGCTTTATGACTGTCCCGACCGATGACGATGATGACAAGCATTATACAGTGGATAATGGCCCCTGTGGTGGCTACGCGTCTGCAAAGAACGTGTACGCGGACAGGCGCGTCCATTCGCGTTGAATTTGATCGGAAAATTTTGTTTTTAACCTTGTGTCACGGTATTCTTTTGATCTATCGGTGTTAAGATTCTGTGAAATTCTCTAACTTTCTTATATTCTAATCCTCTCGGAATGAATATATTTTAAGATTTCGAGAGTACTTCGGAGAAAATAGTATACTATTCGCCGGCGGCTGATTTTCGTGGAACGTCATGGTCTTTCGATTTTGCCGGACAACTAATTTGAGTTGCATAGCGTAACGGCGAAATTTGACGAGGAAAAATGAGGAAAGCGCGACGGGATGGACGAAGGAATGCTCATGTCCTCGTCGTTCTTGACGCCGTGGCATCCACGAGCCGAGAGTCGGCCGGACGAACGAGTACGAGTCCTATTTCAATTCCAGCAAGTTAATTGGAATTGTTTGCTGCAGACACCGCGAGCCGCTTGCCCTCGCGCCCTTCTGAATCCTATACCTCAAGCGGCACTTTCCTTTGTCCCTCCTCCCGCCCGTCTCTGGCTGCTGCTATCGTAGCTTCAGCATGAAACTCACACCGGCACGGCATCGTCGCATTCATACAGGCCCTGACATCCTGAGAGGAATTAATTTCTACCGTCCACCCAGTACTCGCTAAAACCCCCTCCCCCCCGTCCCGATAAAATGCTTACCGTCATTCTTTCAAGCTAGTCGAACGATCTTATCGGAGCGAACGTGTAACATTTTTACCATTTCCGTGATAAAACCCATTTAATTAGGACCTAACCTAAATCGAGTCCAACCGCACTACTATTGTGATATTTTTTTAATACACATACATTTTTTATATACATTATTACATATTTTATATTATTATAATTATTGGGATGTTGCAATATGTTTGTTTTCAATTACCTCATGACGGATTGTTACTTGACTAGGTGCTGCGAAAGAACTACTTTAACTAATTATAGTAAGGTTGGAGGTTTAAAATTATAAAATTAGTACTATAAAATTTTTAGTAAACAAAAGTACGGATGATACCGATATGGATATATTGCATGAATTATTAGAAATTTGGTAATAGTTTTTGAAAATTAACATTGTTAATGTAAGTATATATAGAATTTAACCTAGTTGATAAAATATATATCCAATAGTTTTCAAGTCAAGATATAAATTACGTATACTTAAATAGATTTCTATTGGATATTTTATTACTGCTGTTATAATACGTCTAATTCTTCTATTCCTTTAGAGAAGTTATCGCATTTATTCCCTGAAATCTGGCGATGAATTATTCGTTCGTATTAAGCAAATGACGCGAATCGTTTAGATGGCTCTAAATATGCGAAAGAGGTTAGCAATGAATTTTGCATACCGCCCCGTGCGTTTTTGCACTTTCTATTTTGAAATTTATTCCGCTGGTACAATCACATTCTTATAAATATAAGATTAGCACAGGACGATAGAAGAAATCGATTTCCAGTTTTCTTCAATCGGTAAATGATCGATGTTGAGTACTGGTTGATATTTTTGTCATCTTTGACCTTATATAATTTTATGTTAATTGAGTAATTACGTGAATATTTTTGTAAGATTTCCATGTCGGTCGGCCAATTCTATACCGAATACATAATATATGAAAAATATAGGGAAAAAACGATCAATGCAGTCCATCTGGAGTAATTTCGAGAAAAACACAATTTTAAGTTTCCAGATATCAGATATCTTAGGAAGCTATTGCAAAAAGTACTAGCAGTGAATATCGGAATGCATAGTGTTTACTTATTGTTACTGTTTACACGTATGTATGTTAAACTTCGATATTCTTCCGCACAAGCGCGTGACTATTACTACGTTTACGCGAGCGTTACTGTAGTAACTTACGATAATTCCTTCGCGTAAACGGGATTTTGTAGTAACTTACGATAATTTACTCCGCGTAAACGAGTGATATATCGTAAGTTACTGCAGAAGTAACGCTTGCGTAAACGTAGTATATGATTGTTTTTCCCCAGTACGGTACATCCTTTGGCCTTCCAATGAATTGTAACTGCAGTTCTTAATCAAAACAGATAAGAATTATATAAGTTCTATGAAAATGCCACAAGATAGCTGATCAGATCAATTTCGATCAAAAGCAGGCTTTGATCGTTTTTTTCTAGTACCCTTCATATGTACATGTATATATCGCGCTTCCCGATTTTGCATTGATTCGAGAGTTAGCCGAAAGACAAAAGAAATTTTATAAAAATATCCGCAATTAATTGCTCAATTAACATTATGTGTATTGTGCAAAAACAATTATGATGAAAACGAAGATGAAAGATATTTTCCAAGTAGTATTCAATATTGACTATTTATCGACGCATCGACGTCATTTCGACTAATCATTTCTAACAGAAAAGATAATTGTGAAGATAACGTTTCTTGATAAGAATTGCTTGCACAAATATATTACTTTCTATAAATACGCTTTGTTTTTTACTCTTTAATGAGATTATATCGCGCCAGGCGCCAGTTACATAAAAGCTAAGTGATGTTAATTTTTATACGCTTTAATTTAATTTTAAATCAAGGATAAGAATTGTTACATGTTCTTTTACTGAAGTTAAAACGCTGTTCGTGTACACATATTTATGATTTGAAACATAAAAAATGATTTTGATTTAGAAAATACGTTTATAAACATGTGCTAAAAACATATTTGTATAATAATATTGATATATATATATCAATATTATTATACAAATATGTTATATATATATATACACACATTACACAAATTAATTAAAAACTAAAAAATTAAAGAAAGACATTTAATTGACAAAACATGAACAAATTCTCTCTTTATTTTTCTCTTTCTCTCTCTCTCTCTCTTTCTCTCTTTCTATCGATATTTATTTATTTATATTTAGAGGGATGTGGAAGAAGAAGGAAAATAAAATAAGAGTTATTTACTACAATTTATTATACATATGATGAATTTATTATTACATATGAAGAAATAATTGTTGAATTAGTAACTTTTTTATGTTACGTTATTACATTAGCGTATAACGTC